AGGAACGCATTAGGGATCGGGAAGCGAAGCAGCAAAAAAGAACCTTCACTTACACATCGGGTGTTGTAGCATATGAACATGCAGTCAAGGAAGGGCCAACGTACACATGCAGCTGCTGTGGTAGATTAGAATTCCGACGCTCTGTTTCTACACTCAAAATGTCACATCTGCTGCAAGCTAGTGGCGCAAATGAAATCCGAAGAAATCTCATAAGAAATGTATTTTATCTACAGCAAGTCGATATGTAAAACGTGTGTACAAAGCATCAAATACTGGCAGCAACCCCGTTACTGCCTTTCAAACGGGTTGCACTTTCCTGTCGTGGACCACAGGCTGCAGATTTTGACAAGACTAGAAGAACGACTTGTAGCTGCACGTCATATTTTCCAGACAATCTGGCCGTCACACGGTCCTTCTGGGCAGTTCCGATGCAAGGGAGGAATTGTTAATGCCCCAGTTTCCGTTGACACGACAGTGTCCCTCCTTCCTCGTCTTCCCACTGATGCGCAAGTTGTGCATGTTCGTACTGCACGACGAATGCAATACAAAGGCAACTATATCACTGGCAACGTCAGACCAAACTGCATCTGGCAAGCTGCTGTCCACCTTACGACTCAGCCACTTTATCTATCTCGCAGTATTGCTCTTTCGGACAACTGTTTGATGCAACACTGTCACGTCCATCCTACTGCGGACACAAACATCGAGCCGGAGGAAGATGAAGAAGAGGAAGATGCTGAGCCTCTTAACCCCGGCGCGCAGGAAACTATGTTGTCGACTGAGGACGGTGAGTACAGTGTAAGGATGGCTCCTGGCGAAGGTCGTAGGCCTGTTTCAATCCTTCTGGACGAAGATACCGAATATCTTTCGTTCTCAACAATTTTTGGCGGGCGTAAACTACAACCCTTCTTTCAAGACCGTCCAATGTCGTACTCGGCATCGCCAAATCATTTGCAATGCGATACGACCGAAGAGTAGCGCAACGTCCCGATTACTTACTGTTCATGGCGAAGAAGACTGAGTTGCTGAGATTGTCTAGCAACATATCTTTATGTTGCGGAAAAAGAAAATTCGCGACCGCAATGACATCAGTGCCGCTAATCTCAGCAACAATGATTTCTTCTACGGGCTTGTGCAGCACGATGATGAATATCGTGTTCTTACTGCTGTGCAAAATTCCTGCACACATTGGCACAATGAAAAGCAGAAATTATTGGCAATGGTAACGCAGTTTGGACTGCCAACCTTCTCACTCTTTCCGCGGCTGAGACACAGTAGCCCGAACTTCTTCAAATTCTGAAACGGGTTGTTGATAACGAAAGCATTACTTCAGCAGAAGCACTTACATTATTGTACACTGAAAAATCAAGACTGATTCAGTTGGATCCAGTTACTTGTGCACGGTACTTTAATTACCGGTATCAAGAACAGAGAAAGCTATGGGATCTTTCTGGCGGTCCATTCCAAGGCATAGCAATTACACACTCATATTATAGAGTGGAATTTCAGCAGCGAGGGTCACCTCACATACATCAACTTCTCTGGCTAA